AAAATTCTGGAACAAGATCAAAGACCAGGGAACAAGATCAAAGACCAGGGAACAAGATCAAAGACCAGGGAACAAGATCAAAGACCAGAAGTGCAAGAACCATTTTCTGCCTTAGTTTATAGTGGATGAACAATAAGAACCTTCAAAACATTGTTAATGACAATCAACATGCGACTACATTATCTGGTACAGGATGTTTGCTATGCTGCATACAAATTTATTTGCCACACAAAATTCAGCCAGCACTATCAAAATATTTTCAATGTGACTTGAACAATTTTCAGGGGTAACAGAAATGAAACAGATTTCCTACTCATCGCAGCTCCTTCTTCTGCATGTAAGACAATATGAGATAAATTATTGTAAAAATGGGTAGAAGGCAGGAGGAAGACTAAGGAAGAGCTAAAACCTGCAAAAAGATGAACAAAACTATCACTCAAGCCATCCAAAAAGCGCAAGGTATATACAGAAACCACAATATTGGGATACAACCTATTAGTAACTGGTGTGATGACAAAACAGGAAGGGACAATTCTGAAACTTATCAGAACATGGTGAGTACACTGAAACTGCCAAAAACATGGTGGAAAGGGACAGAGAACGACACAGCACAAATGAAAGTGTTTTTAAAAATAATGATACATTTTCAAAATATTTAAAAAAAAAATAATTTGAGACTTTTTTTTTTAGTGATTCAAAATTGTGTGATTTATAATTAATGTTTCCAGTCCCAGAAACATGTGATGTGTGTTTAGCTCTGCCTCCTTGCATTCCATTCATCATGCAATGTGTTTCTTTACATTTTACATCTGGTCAAAGCATTACAGAATTCTGATTATTTCCAAGAATTTCCGCAAATGTTTACAACTGGTGAACATGAAGAAGTTTTTACTAAGATTTCAATTTCATTATTAACGGTTAAAAGACAATTTTATATCTGAAAATAAATGATCAACACAAAGACGGGTGAAAACAGATCGTTGACACTAAAACATGGGTATCAATATTAGAAACATTGTAATTTACATTTTCAAAATACACTGCCAACATCACAGAAGAAAGCATTTTATGACTTGACAAATAAGTGCCAATTAAAGACACCAAAAATAAAAATAAAATAAAGAGAGACAGACTTTACCTAGTGTGAAACATAAAAATCACCAAAACATAAACGCTTAAAAGTCACCACAACATAAAAGCTAAATTCTTTAGCTCTAAGACACTGTCTCCTCATACATCTTGATGTTTGTACAAGTCACCACAACGCGAAGGCTAAACTCTTGAGCTCTAAGACACTGTCTCCTCATACATCTTGATGTTTGTATAAGAGTCACCACAACATGAAGGCTAAACTCTTGAGCTATAAGACATTGTCTCCTCATACATCTTGATGTTTGTACAAGAGTCACCACAACATGAAGGCTAAACTCTTGAGCTCTAAGACACTGTCTCCTCATACATCTTGATGTTTGTACAAGATTCACCACAACATGAAGGCTAAACTCTTGAGCTCTAAGACACTGTCTCCTCCTACATCTTGATGTTTGTACAAGATTCACCACAACATGAAGGCTAAACTCTTGAGCTCTAAGACACTGTCTCCTCATACATCTTGATGTTTGTATAAGATTCACCACAACACGAAGGCTAAACTCTTGAGCTATAAGACACTGTCTCCTCCTACATCTTGATGTTTGTACAAGATTCACCACAACATGAAGGCTAAACTCTTGAGCTCTAAGACACTGTCTCCTCATACACCTTGATGTTTGTAAAAGACATGTTCAGAGCTAACAACTATCAGGAACTTTCAGCTGATAATCTGATCTTATCTGAAGATATTAAATTAATGGGCACCAGCCAGGAAATGTCCTGTGAAGCAAAGGTGGCTGCAGTGATGTTCTGCATATCACACACCAAATGCACAGTGAGCTATAAAATATGAGCCTAGCCCCATATGCCCAATTCTGCATTAGCATGAAAATGATCCTTTACCATATAATATCAAGTTATATCACAAGTGATTATTCTTCCTTTTCTTTTTCTTCATGTTCCTCGGCTGTAAACTCCAGCAGAAAGTTCTAGTTGTTCATCCACCTCCAGACTTTTGTCTTATTCCAGAATCTGAGTGTTGCATGCACATTCATTTTATAGATCTGTCTTATTTGTTTGCAGACTGTTGGTTCCTTGCCTCTTAGACAGATGCATGCTGACTTCAAAGGATGCCCACAACTAGTAGACTACTCAACACACTGTTCCAATCATCCTTGCAAGGGCTGAAGCATTTTCTGCTTACCTCATGGAACCTGGGAAGTAAAGGCGGTTGGCGTGATGCTGACCACATCACCGACCTAGTACCGATTGATCTATAAAAATATAGGTCTAGTCCTATATTTCCAATACACCTAAAGATGTAGAAAAAGGACCTTTACTTTTACTTTTTTTATGGGGCCTGGTAAAACACACGCATCAATCCATCAAAATTCTAGCTTTGTGAACGTTCAAATCTTAAAGTGGTTTTCCCTTGTCTTCAACATTCATACCAATGATGTACATGTTATAACCACTGCACTGCCCGTAACATCTGTTCCCTGTATGGGTTCCGGGGCCCCAATGTGGGGAAAACAAAAATAGACCCATTGCCTACCCAAAAGCTGTCGCAAGTGTCAATTCATTGGAAGCATCATTCGAAGTCAGAGTGCTTCACACAAGCAAGGAACCAACAGTCTGCACACAAATGAGTCAGATCTGTAAAATGGATGTGCATGCACAACTTATGTTTTGGAACAGGACCAGAGTCCAGAACAACCAGAACCTTCCGCTGGAGTCTGCAGCCAGTCAGCATATAGATAACAAATGCTGCATACAACATTTTACTGGCCATTATTCCGGAAAGCTAGAATGCACAGAATCCAGAAAGGAGTCAATTCTTTGTGTTTAAAATGTACAAATCCTCCACAACGATAACCAAACCTGAGATTTTCAGCTTAAAAGCATAAACTCTAAGTGCAGTGCCACTTCTTCCTCAACTCCTCCCATACAGAGAGAAAAATGTGTGCCTTATCCCGGGCATTCAGGCATGTGAAGTCAGCATCTTTCCAGTAAGCGTGCCAAATTCCTAATAAATATGTGCTTATAAGCAACCAGTAGAAAACACTTAACTTTTCCATTTCAACAGCAACAAAAAGAAGGAAGTCAGGCTTACAACAGCAAGCAACAAGTGGCATAGAAACTAAGTTTTACCCTTTCGCCACGTGAATGCTTAAAATAAAAAAAAAAATAAAAAAGGCAGAACCCATGGAAATTTCCAGAAAAAAATCATTTAAAAAGAAAAAAAATTCCATATTACACAGGTCATTAATAAATTAAACTTTTTTATTTTTTTATTTACATTTATATTTTAGATAAATAAAGGGGTAATTAATAAACCTGGCAACCCTCATGGTGTAGCGACTAGACGCACACCTGCAGATCCGAAAGCCATGGGTTCAAATCAGCATGGAGCCAGATTTTTTCGTACATAACTCTCTGGTTGACTCAGCATAAAATGGGTACAAGGTAAAGTGTTTAGAAGTAAGGTGTCTAGCGTGATGCTGACCACATCGCCCACCCAGGATTGACTGGTCTACAAACATTTAAGTCTAGCTTCATTTTTTCAATGCATCACAGGCAAGAAAATTGACTTTTCATCACCATGTGCCCTGCCAACTGGCGTAGGCGTGCATGCGTCTCCACAGATCACGATCCCTTGTTGCCTGGAACAGCTCTCTTGATGATATCCCTCCATGCCATCGTTTCAGCCCATCCAGCATCATTTCTTTTGGTTTGTCTCTAATCCTTGTTCCCACTGATCTTTCCAGTTGTCACGATGTTCTCCAAAGTCGCTCTTCTCATTATTTAGCAAAAGAACAGTGTTTCTCTCTTTCTTATTGTTGTATATAGAGATCTACTTTCATTAGCTTCTTTCAAGCAATCTTTGTTAGTTACTCTGGCCATCCAAGGTATTCGTAACATTCGCCTCAACAACCACATCTCTGTTGCTTCTAAATTCTTCCTAATTTGCTCACTGACATTCTAAGATTTGCTGCCATACAGCAGAACAGATTCAATGTAACATTTTAGCACTCTCTTTCTTACATTAAATGAGAGCAATTTATTGCATGAGATATTTTTCCTTTAAAAGACCTTCACCTTTTGAAATTTTTTTTTACATAAACATGAACAGAGCGAAGCATTAAATGTAATACATTTCCAGGGACCTTTAAAAAAAAAAAAAACTAGTATCTGGTGATTCCTGTCGTAAACCTATTATGATCTTAATCAAAGGGACTTACACAACAATTCAACATCAACCTGGCTTTAAAAAGCCATTGGGGACATCTTAAGGAAACCCATTCTATGTGCTATTCTTAGTTACTATATTTATATCCTTGGTTATTAAATGCCTTGCAGGCACACACTGAAGAATGACATTTAACTATGCATTGCAAGAACAGCTCACTGCAGACATGGTAATATATCGGCATTTAGGGGACTGTGTCACAGCCGACAGTGACCAGATTTAGTCTTCTATGAGGCGGCAGGTTTAAATTGCCTGTATAAATTTACAGTATATGTGTAAAGTTATGAAAAACAGCACATCACACACAGCAGAGCCAATATAACATCAATGATAATAATAATAATTATAACATGATATAAGTATCAGCAAAAGACACACTTGGCTTTCTCTGCCAGAATTAGGCTGCAAGCAATGCTATTAAACATCATCAATAATCATTTTTTGGACATTTTATAGTAAAAAAAGACATTGTGGCACAATACACTGTCCTGGACTAAATGAATGATGAATGTAACTCTTAACGAACATACTTCCTTCAATATTTGGTTAAAAAATAGTAATTATCGCCAGACTCCCACCCCGGTCCTTCCCCGACCCCTAATTTGATATTCAGAATTTTCAGATGATAATGAGAATGCGAGGCCAGTTAAGCAGCACTTTAAGATGCCCACATTTCTAGCTCTTTCATATCGTCGTCGTCATCTTTTGCATGAGCTGAAATGAAATATTATAAAATGCATAAAAATTAGGTGGGATGCAGATTTTTTTATTTATTTTATTGTTATAAAATGAAATGTTTTTAATCCACCAGTTTAGTAGTGCTTGGCCAGTCAGAAAGTCTCATGCAATCCACAAGAGTACTCGGCACATTAGGCTACATAGTTGTATCTTTCAACCAGCTGCAGATCTCACAACTGAAGGGGTTGTTTTAATTTTTTTTTTGCAGTTTCTATTGTTATAAAATGAAATGATTTTAGTTCAACATGACTATAAAGAAGGAGCAAAGGAAAACAGAAGACAAAAACCATAAATTTAAGGTTGAATGGACTGAATTGTACAAGTTTATACAAAACTCTAAAGGCCTTCCGACCTGTCTTATTCGTCAAGAAAAAGTGACATCAACGAAAAGTCACACTTGGAGAAACACTTTACAATTAAACATTTTTTTATTTTGCAGTAAATATCTTGCTGGTGATGCAAGAAAGAAAGCGACAAATTTCAGAAGAGTAAACAAAATATCAAATTCTGTATTTAATTCTTTGCTGCAATCTTGCAGCAATGTTAATACTGCAAGCTTTACTGACAGTAAAAGTGGTCTGCTTTGAATGACCTGGAGAAAGAAGACATGATAATTTTCAACACCTGGAAGAGTATTCCTGACTCTTACGATCAGTTTAAAAAAATAAAAGAGAAAAAAAGCATTTGCTATGGTTTCACTCTTTGGCTCTACGTATTCATGCAAACAATCATTTTCAAGCTTGAACCTCATCAAGAGTACACTAACAAACCATCTTACTGATGGGAATCTGGAATCCTGCTTGAAATTAAAAACAACGATACACAAACCAGACTTATCAAAACTTTCCAAGGATATGCAAGGTCAAAGTTCACATTAAATACATGTTTTGTATTTTTTTGTCTGTACTATTATTATATCTGGTTGAACTTAATTTTCAACGCATGTTTTGTATTTTTTGTCAGTAAAACAAAAAACACAAAAAAGCACCATGGAGAACTCAACAAATCAGAGCAGAAGCTATGGTGCCAGGAAGTGGGGCAGGGGCCAACCAGCATGAAGATCAGCACAGATTATAAGCGACACCCTGAATAGGAAAGTGTAGGAGAAAGAGGAGCAGACGAGAGACTGAGTTTCCTTCAGGATGACAGCAATGTTCTGCCAAGGACGTTCCACATGATGATGATGATGAAGAGCACCATATGCTCAATGCCCCAACTGATGTTACAAGTTTACTCTTCTTTTCCTAAGTTACACTGAGGGATAAAGGGTTGAAGATACAACACATGGATGCTCACCCCTTGCTGCCCGGGGTTCTGAAGGTTCTGCAGTTGGTACACTGGGTAACTCTTCTGTGCCGCCGACTTCTAGCAGCTGTTTGTCCAATTCCTCTTGCTCCAGCTCCTCCAGTTCAGCCAACAAATCATCCTGCAAGTATGAAACACAAATCAGCGCTTATTCTAGTATCAGGAAATGTTATGGGAAAGTAAAGGCAGTAGATAACAGTAATGTGTGGATTCACTGTTATTTTCATTGTTTTTTTCTTTTTTTTTTCTCAGTCCATTCCATGTGGCATTTATAGTCATGTCTATGCATAACCATCTCTCTCATGTCCTTTCATTAAATTCTGACACAGATAAACTTTACTTTCACGCACATGATGTCGAACTATCCAGCATCTTCTCTCTTGGTCTCCCTCTGCCTCCTTTCTCTTTTAACTTTCCGTCAGTCACAATGTACTCCCGCTTTGTTCTCCTCAGGACATGACTGAAGAATGTAGATTATTTCCTTCAGATGTGGGCAATTAGTTCTCTCCTTGAGTCGGTTTCACTTCATTACGCCTTTTGTTTGTCCAAGGTATTCTCATCATTTATCTACAAAATCACATCTCCGCCACCTCTAAATAATTTTTCAGTCATTACCAAACTGTCAGTGAATCCATTCTGTATATTGTTGTTGTTAGTCTACTATTATTTTAAGATATACAACACTTACCACACAACAGAGACCATCCGATTAAAGGAATCCATATTCACCCACACAACAGAGACCATCCGATTAAAGGAATCCATATTCACCCACACAACAGAGACCATCCGATTAAAGGAATCCATATTCACCCACACAACAGAGACCATCCGATTAAAGGAATCCATATTCACCCACACACAGAGACCATCCGATTAAAGGAATCCATATTCACCCACACACAGAGACCATCCGATTAAAGGAATCCATATTCACCCACACACAGGGACCATCCGATTAAAGGAATCCATATTCACCCACACACAGAGACTATCCGATTAAAGGAATCCATATTCACCCACACACAGAGACCATCCGATTAAAGGAATCCCATATTCACCCACAACACAGAGACCATCCGATTAAAGGAATCCATATTCACCCACACACAGAGACCATCCGATTAAAGGAATCCATATTCACCCACACACAGGGACCATCCGATTAAAAGGAATCCATATTCACCCACACACAGAGACTATCGATTTAATGGAATCCATATTCACCCCACACACAGAGACCATCCGATTAAAGGAATCCATATTCACCCACACACAGAGACCATCCGATTAAAGGAATCCATATTCACCCACACACAGAGACCATCCGATTAAAGGAATCCATATTCACCCACACACAGAGACCATCCGATTAAAGGAATCCATATTCACCCACACACAGAGACCATCCGATTAAAGGAATCCATATTCACCCACACACAGACTTCAAACTGTAAAAAAACCACAGAGAAACAATCTTACCTCATCAACATCCCGACCAAAGCCAACTGGGTTAGATATGGCCTCTGAGATTTCATTGGCCACCTCTTGCTGTTCGGCCACGTCATCCATCAAATCATGGACCTGGTCCACATCTCTGCAACAGAAAGTGATCTTCCTTGTCATCTGGTTTCTTCTTTCAGCTTCATGGGCTTGCAAGTTATTTGCTGAATATAACACCGCTTTACATCATGCTATTCGTGATGAAGTTGTTCTAATCTATAGTATTCTTCTCTGTCAGCTTGCTGCTTCCTTCGACAATGAACAGAATTTCTAGTGTCGGACTGTTCGTGTTGGCACTCCTGACTGGTTTTCGCTGGCCAGAAATGAAGCATTTACAGGGTGACCCTTCTGCTAAGAAGTTGGAACCATGATTACCTAATTACCTATCTTCTCTGTTAGTCATCACCATCCCGTGCTCGGCCAGGTGACATAGGTTCTCATGTCTAAAAATGTTTCCATAGTCTTAGATGTCTAAAATATACTTCCACAGTATTAGATGTCTAAAATATAATTCCATATTCTTAAATGTCTAAAATATCTTTCAGTCTTTGATGTCAAAAATAGAATTTCATATTCTTAGATGTCTAATATATACTTTCATAGTCTTAGTTTTGTATCTTGAATCTGATAAAGTATTGCTTTTACTAAAGCTTATTTCTCTGATATGACCAGGTCATGTCTTCAGCAGAAATCTGCAATCTTTCAGTCAACCATACACTGCAAAAATGTGAGTAGCCTATGAAGATATCTGCAAGCTTTCATAAAACTAGACACTCACTCACTCAATCAGTACATCTTTAATAGAAACGTTGCTCTTATCGCGGCACTCCTGAAAGTCTCTTTTTTTTTTCTAACCAATTCTCTATGTGCTTTAAACAGCTAATGCATCTTCAATGTTTTTTATTCTTTGCTTCTGCCTTTGTCTTGTTTTCCAGAAACTGTACCTTCCATCAGTGCTACCTCCGACCCATCAAGACATTTAACATGAACAAAATACCTCAGCTTTCAGAATAGGGTACATGTTTGTGCGTGGAAATTTCCTCCCAAAAAATGAAAAGTCTGACAGCTTGGCTTTTTTTTTTTCTAGGTCACTGAGGTAAAAAGGTTAAAAGGTTAAGCAAAAATAATTATTTCACCATAATCAAACTTTATCAAAATGGTAGAGAGGGCTGAAGAGTCATGACTGTTGATGCCTGCTCCAGACCACACACTTGAAGGAAAAATGTAATTACTATGTGAACTGGCAAACTTTAATGAAGTACAAAATGAGAATTTACATGAACAATCCCTGTGTGGGTTCTGGGGGTCCCACTTTCAAGGTGGGGGGGGGGGGATAGATCCACTGCAACCTAACAAGCATGTCATACACAGTGAATAATTAGGGGTGCTACCTCCAAGTCGGAGAGCACCCGCCTGAGAGGCGAGTAACCAAAAGTCTGCACACAAATAAGCCAGATCTGCAAAAGGGATGTGCTTATAAAACTCAAGTTCTGAAAGAGGACTAAGGTCCAGAACTAAGGTCCAGAAGTGGACAAAGAATCAGAACTTTCCACTGGAGTTTACAGATGTGAACAAGAGGAGGAGGAGGAGGAAGAAGAAGGAGGAGGAGGAGAAGAAAAAGAAGAATAAATCAAGAACCAAATCTTACACAATTTTAAAAAATAAGGCAAACCGAATTTTCATATATTTGCAACACATACACAAAAATACTCCTTGCCAATTTCATTGGTCATTTCTCAAATATTAGTTTACATAACTCACTTTAGAGTTTACAAATAAATGTTACAAAATAAGAGAATTAAAGAAAAACAAACTCCAGTTACTTTTGCAATATGTATGGGAAAAGTTGCTGTTCAAGCATAAATGAAAAAAGCCACTTTTCAAATATGCAAGAAAAAGTCATTTTCCCAAGTCATTCTTATAGATATTAATAAAATAATCTATAGTCATTAAAGAAGGGGCAGGGGGCAACCAACACGCAGATGGGCACAGGATATAAGTGACTCCTTGAGCATGAATGCATAGGTGGGAGAGCTGACGAGAGACCGAGTTTCTTTCACGATGACAGCGACGTTCTGCAAAGGACCTGCCACATGATGATGATAGACATAAAAAAATATTTTTCTAACACACATAAGAGAAGTTAATTTTGTTCTCTCTCCGATCTACTGAAAGCAAGCGAATTACTTACAAATTATTATGGGCACCCTTCAATGCTTTTGCAGCAACTCCCATCACCTTAAGGACTTCTGTGTTTGTACTGGCATTCTCGAGGGCCTCTCGCTGGAATTCAATCGTTGATAATGTACCGTCAATCTGCTGCAGCTGCTTTTCATATCTCTTCTTTCTTTTTAAAGCTTGAAGTGCAACTAAAGGTTGGAGGAAATTTACGATTATTTTTAAGTTACGAAAGACATTTTCATTTTCAAGAATAAAATATTTGCATATAACAAAGAAGGTTGGCTAGAGGGCACCTATTGCTTTCTTTGCGAAAATTATGCGATGAGGTCCCACTGTATGGGAGTGTTTGTTTTCGAAAAAACTGTCGGCCATGGAAATCAAATACTTGTACTCAAGGATCGTGAAATTATTAAATATTAAACACATTTATTAACCTATAAACCAGAGGTATTATTCGAGTGAGGGGGGGGGGGATTTCTGGAGGGGAAAAAAAGGGGGAGGGGGGCAATTTTGACAGTAACTGCATCTGTACTTATAACAGTTCCAATACAATAACATTTTGTTTCATGGTAATTATAAATACAATATTTTAAAAAAAACTATTTATTCAACAAAATGGCAAGGATATTTTTTCATGAGCAGTGTGTACATCTGCCGGTAAAAAATCGAATTAATCAAGCACATTTTATTATCAATTAGGAACCTATTTGACCAAAATTATCTCCATACTTTCTGTTTCTCTTGTTGGGAATTCTACTGACCTTTTTTTTCCCAAATTTTTTTTAAAATAATCTGGGGGAGGGTTTAAGATGGCCGTAGGGTCTTGCCATATTCATATACTCAAGAGTGGGGGGGGGGGGGGGGAGGATTTCTAGCCATACACTCAAAGAACCAAAAAATGAGACAACAGCTCTAAACAGACTAGTTATAATTTGTATTTTTTTTAAGAGAGGGGGGGGGGGGGGGGTTGCACACAATTACCAGGTCAGTTTTGAAGAAAAAAAGCACCAGGATGGTACTCAGTCTGTCTGTTTTGAGTTACAATTATGGTTTCTTTCATAGATCTTAAATTACAGCATGCCACCTGGAGTTGTTTAGGTTTCAGGTTTAAACAAGGGATCAACATTATGGCGCAAAGGTAGTAACCCATAAGTGGTCAGTTCTACTTCTAACTCAAACCTGAGCCAGAAGTGTCTCAGCACGGTGCACGAAGCCCATAGCACCAGCGAGGAACCTGAAATACTTTAGGTAGATTTTTAAACTCCAAATTTTGCCTTTGCAAAACCCGTTAGGCCACTCTTCTTGATTTCCAACTGCTAGGGGATTTTTTTACGTGTACAACAATACACATGTTATGAGTGCTCTAGTTATACAATTTTAAGTATGTTGAATAGGGTGTCTGGGACTTCACTTGGTGAAGTGACATCCGGGATATGAAGCTTTGAGCTGCAGGGGGTCAAAGCTAAGGTGTCAACCACTGGGAAAAAAACTGATAGGGGAGTCAATCGATCTAATAAATGAACACTCTGACTTAAGCAGACCCAGGAGGGTTCACCAGTGTAATACTTGGAGTGTCCATAAGCTGCTTCAGTAAAACAATTTTATAAGAACAGGTTATGTATAATCTTTTAACAAAATGCCCTGAATCATGTTGAGTTGAGGTGGAAAAATCAGGAAGGAAATAGGAATACAGGAAAAAAAATGACTGCAGAAAGGCTGATTGCTGAGAAAAAGAATACTAAATACATGTGACTGCAACAACGGTCCTGAAATCCCATGCTATAATTGTGGGAGACTTTTCTTAACATTAGCAGGTCTTTGCTAGTCTTCTTCTTCTTCAATCCTTCTGTCAGAAAACTTAAATCAGGAGGCCGGTAACCTTTATAAAAGCTATCGTGCAATCCATATCCTCTCGTGTACCATACAGTTTTGTCTTCAGTGTGGTTGGAACAGGCCAGATTGCGTCTCTGTTGTCAGCATATAGTTGACAGTGTTGGAGCACATGCTCAGCATTTTCGGGTGCCATGCTTCAGGGACACGTCTCCGTATTTCCAACACCAAAAAATTTGAACATATGTTGACGAAATCTGTTGTGCCCTGTCCTTAGTCTGAATATAATACACTGTCCCTCTCTAGAGAGGCGATGAAGTGAGTCTTGGGGAGAAAATCTGCTGTCATCACCATGGGCTGATTCCTATGCCACCCCACAGCATAACATAACACTTATTTCTGGAGAGATGGAAAGGTGCCAACTAACTAACAACTATCTGTAAACCTGATTTTGTTGAACTTACATCTAACTATGGCTTGTTGATCCACCATGATGTCAGAGTTTTGGGTAGCAATTCTGGAGCATGAATATGTGTTTATGTTTAAAAGTTAGTTGCGTAATCTATTCAGGAGGTTGCAGAACCAACCCCCAGCATTTGTTGGCTGGTGTCGTTTTTCTAGGTAAATTTTACATTCAGTAGTTTGCCTCTGCTTTGAACAGTCAGCTCTGCATACCACTGTCGAATTCAACGCAAGACACATGACACACCGTCTGCAGCTGGGATAGAACCTGGCACCCCGGCATTACCAAGTGCGTTGGCAACACCTAAGCCACAGACGCCATTTACAATTATGAAATACTAGCAAATGCATACCAGCACCTTTGTGTGTACTGGGCATATAGGGCTAAACCTATATTTTATAGACCAATCAGTATTTGATAGGTAATGTGGTCAACAGCCCACCTGTCCCCTTTACTTCCCAGGACTTTTTCCTGGTACCCAATGTACCCTAGAAGCCAATGTCAGAAGAAAATAAAAAAGCCCTGCACCCAATGAGTCATAGGATATTTTTAGTTTATTTAGGAAAGTATGACTAACAGAGTGAAAGTACAGTGTAGACAGTATGGCAAAACTGAAAACCGCCACCCTAGTGGAATCAATCTATTGCTAGTTACTAAAGCTTTGCTTTAGATGGGAATGTTAGGGGACGTAATCCATTGTTTGCGTAAGTTCACATAACATTCGTTAATAGGGTTAGCCCTAACTCTAACCTTAACCAATACTAGAAATTAGAGAACATTAGTGTGTGAATATTATATTATTAGTTATGCCCCTTATGGTAGTTGTAGGCAAAGCGTCCCCTAAGGTTTTTAGTTTTGCCAATCAATATTAATTATTATTATTGGACCAGGTCATAGTTAATTACTAATTAGTTTTAAATTAAACATGAAGACCCAAATTTCTATCACAAAAGATGTTCTTCCAAAAGACTACGTTTTATTATAGTATGTTTTACTGCAATTTATAAACTAAACTGTTTGGTAAACACAGTTACATAAATAACATACCGCGTTTATTTTTTGTCCCATTCTTTCTGGCTATGGAAAGCTCTGCATCTATCTTCTTTTCTAGGAAATCGGACTTCTTCATCAACATTTCTTCAACTTCCCGCAATTTCTGGATTCCTTCCTGTGGTGTTGGACATTTTTCTTTCTTACCAAGGCCGAAGACACTCTTGAGTAAACTCATAGTTTTGTTTTAAACCTGCTGACTGGCGTCAGTCCCTAATGAAGTTATATCCGACCAAGGAGTTTGGATTGTTTCAGAACCTGTGATGACACTGAGTCAAAACCGGAAATGTGTCATACCGAGGCGACTAGAATGTCTCCATTCTATTGGTTGAAAATGTGAGTCTCCTCTTTCATTTGGCAACCATTGATTGTGAGGAAATATTCCTTACGTCCTTCTTAGGACGTAAGTTTTTTGTTATTTAAAGCCCCACTCTGGCTTTTTCCAGGGGCCGCAATATAGGCAGGCCATCAATATGGCCAATTGTCTGGACGCTGTTTCTGGGACCTCTCCACGGTGATCCTCATCCGCATGGTGGCACTTTGTGTCATCGGGTGTTTATCGCTTGTGTGATATCCTGGTGGGGTAGAAAGTCAGTCTGTGAGGAAATGTTGAGTTGGAAACACCAACACTGACTTGGTGGAGAATACGCAGTTGGGAGATCTTAATGTTGCTGATGATATTTTTCTGCTAAGTAAAAACAGCAATGACATGCACCGGAAAACAGACGATTTGGCAAATATAGCTTCAAGTATCAGCAGCTTTTAATAGCTTCAACAAAATAATAAACTGTAGTAATAGTACATTTTACCCCAATAGGACATCACACATGCGATAAACACCCTAGGACACAAAGGGGCACCATGCGGATGAGGATCACACGTGTAGAGTGTAGAGGTCCCAGAAACCGCGTTCAGCCATTAGGTCATATGCATGGCCTGGCTATATTGCCGCCGCTAGCAAGAGCCTGTGTGGGGCTTCAAAATGACGAAATATTGCGTCCCACAATGGGATGACTGGTTAATTTAAAAATAATAAGGAACTGTAAATTGTAAGCTTTAAAACCAAGTTACGTATTTTTAATTCTAATGTTTATCCCCAGAAGTAAAGGGCCGGAAGAAAATGATTGGATGACACACCAGACAACATAGAAATTGAAAGCTACAGTGAAGACTGGGAATCGAAACTGACACTTCCAGGTGAAGACGGCCTGTCTTGGTGAACGTTCTGGATTACAGTTGTTCAGTAACCTAGCAAACACGATACCTTCCCATTTATCCACAGGGACCATAATAAATGTTAGAGGAATTAACATTTTAACGTACCGCGCCTGAATTAAGTAAGTAGCTACTGAGATTTGAAAACCAATGCCTGAGAAAAAATATTAACAAATAATGGAACGAATTCAAGAGGAATAAGAAATAGCAGAAATATCTAAGCAACCACTAGTATCATCAGTTATAAGATGAGATTGCGCTATATTGAGCATATTCTGAGAAGAGAAAAATAGAGAAATAACAACAAGCATGGAAATGGGAAAATAGAGAGAATGGGGAAACGGAGAAACCCTAAGGCGACACTTAATGAGAGGAGTCAAAGGTGCAAAATGTTTGCTTGGGATATAACCTAATGGAGAGATAAACTGTGAAACTCATATTTTGAGAGTTGTGACTGTATTTCAGTGAGATGGTTAAACCATTTGATTACATTTGGTAGTCGAAAAGGGAAAAGTTAGAGGGGAAAAGCGGCTGAATGATACATTCTACATCTATGTCGTAAATGAATGAAAGTACACAAGAGCATGGGCGCCCGCAGAAAATTTTCTAGAGGGGGGCAAAATATTTTTAGTAATGTTTTAATTTTAATGTAGTTTTAATTTACTGTAGCGTATTTGTATGGTGAACTAACGGACACGGAAATTTTTTTTATTAACACAATATATGTATATAACAAAAAAATATTACAACATAAATATTAAAATAAAATTTTAAATTTTTAACAAGAACTGGAGTCCATTTGTTATCGCTACCGTACATATCTCTGTGTACGCTTAACATGCACAATCCAGACAGACGTTCATCTGACATTGTCGATCTAAGGCCATGTTTTTACACGACGTAATGTTGCCTG